AGATATCTCATTACAAGGAACTCAATCCAACATAACATTTACTACTCTTAAAACCATTTTGTTAACTCCAACCTCAAGTCGATCTTTAATTTTCATCTACTTTTTATTTCTTTATACCTAGGTGGTTTATATGATTTTTAACCATTAAATCACCTAACTTTATATTTACAATTGTGTTTCTGATTGTTGATATTAATGAAAACATTGTTATTCAGGTTATTGGATTTTATTCTATATGTTAACATATTCATTTTAATAATTACCACTTGCTTTGATACATTGAAAACACTAATTATGTGACAAGAAAAATAATCTTATTTCCTATTTAATCAAATTGTTTAGTAATTGGAGAAACTATTTGAAGAGAATGAAATGATGTAATTATTCATGCACTTTGTAATTCCGCAGCAACGTGCTGGCATTATTATCTAGTTAAAATCTAAAAGCTCATTTAGTTTTCAAAATATATTCTCTTAGGTCCAATCTAGAATAATAAACTTTGAGCTTTACCTTCTCCGAATCTTGAATATATTTCCCAACCCACAACAATATTAAGTTTGTAATCTCCTTGTTCTCTTTTAACATTGTACTAAATTTTTAAAATTTCATAGATTTTGTCCTCCAAATTCCCATTCCACCCTTCTCGTGTTTTTTTTTTTCCTGAAATTTCCCAATTCTATATAGACTTGAAGTGATGCTAGAGAGACTATGTACTTGAACCATATTTTGAGAACATATGATGTGGTAGTTATTGATTAGACTACTTCTTTAAATCATTAAAAAAAGAATTCAATAATCAACTGCCACATTATGTGCTCTGCAAAATATAGTCTAAACACATGGTCTCACTAGCATTTTTCATTGACTTGATATTGAAAGGTTAATTTCTCTTAATCCTTATTAATTTTTTACAAATTACTCTATATATTGAGTCTTGACTTGATATTATTGGAAGGTTACAGTGTTGCTCACTTAGGCCTCGTTTGGCACGCCATATAAAGTATCGGATAAGATAAATAGTACGAAGTCAGTCGTTTGGTGCACCTTTGTACTAAATAGCCACCGGACTAATAATCCAGGCCCACTTGTTTTATCCAGTACACACCTTCTAACTAATACACCCCAAAAGGCAAGGATAATTAGTCGGCTTCTCTCCCTTCGTCGTTTGTTCTTCTTCCACCAACCCAAAATCTTTCCTCCAACCCAACCAACCATGTCAGCAATCGGAGCGAACTCTAGCAGACATTCCAAAGCCAATCGTCGCCGACCCTGCTCTCCTATCTCTTTCTTTTCTTTTCACATCTTCCCCATGCCCTACCCAGTTCTCTTTTTTTGTTTTCTTTCAATTTTTTTGGAAGTTCAAAACCCTTGTTGGATTGCATAACACGCATTTGCAATTAGTGGGAAGAGGGTGGGATTTGATGTGTTTCACCTTCATCGTCTTCCTCCTCCTGCAATTTTTTATTTTTTCTTTTATTTTTCTCTTTTTCTCTCCATGTCTTATTGTCTTGTATCCTCCAGTTTGTGATTTTTCTATTTGATGGATCTGTTATTCTCAATACTTTACAAGAATATTTCTCTTCTATTTTAATTTCCAAATCTCTAAGCACGTCGTGTTAGTAGGGGTTTCAAAAGGATTCCCAAAACTCTGAGCATTTCTTCTTCCCGTTCGTCTTTCTTTGATTTCTTTTGTTTTGGGTTTTTTTATTTTTGTGAATTTTTATTTTGAAAACACATTTGTCATTTTTTTTAATTTGACATATTCAAAAAATACTATTAACAAGTAATTAAGAAAAAAAAGAAAAAAAAAAAAAATATATATATATATATAGGCCGACCTCTTAATACGGTCATTAGTCTGATGATGATGTACCAAACGCTCGACTAATTTAGTCAATACTATCCGATGACTATTTATCATATCCGACTGAAATAGTCAATACAGTCCGAGCTGCCAAGCGAGACCTTAAGGTCCTCATTTTAAGGACCTGTGGTCTTCTTTCACACAAGCCCTTAGATTGATTATGGGGTTACGCTTAAAAAAAATATCCCACAAACTGAAAAAAAAATAAAAATGGAAAGGAAAAAAACGATTCACGCGTGAAATCTCTTTAGTTGGCGGAGACGTCTCGCTCCGGATTTCACACGGCCATCAGATGCCCTAAATCTGTTTGGAGGCAGTCCCATATTCCATTTGCACCTACTGTTGTGCCTCTTCTAATTTAAATAGCCAAAAGGAATGCGATACGTAAACCCCTCTTCTTTTATTTTTTATTTTTTATTTTTTATTTTTATTTTTTATATTTTTAGTTTAATCTGTTTGCTGTACATAATTTCGTTTAAGCATAACAAGGATAATAAAAGCTTATAGATTATCCTTAGATCAATTTATTGACTCATATAAAAGTGGACCTCACAGGTCCTCAAAATAAGGACCTTAGGTGAGCGACAACGTGGAAGGTTAATTTCATCATGAAAAAGAGCATTTAATGTCTTAAAATATTTAATTAGCTCACAACTCTAAGCATGTATTCTACTCTCTTATAATTTGTAAATACTATCGATTTATTTTATTTTTTTTGACATTTAAGTGAGGTCCCTCCTCATGTAAATCTTGGCTCCGCCACTTGCGGATTTGTTAAAGTGTTTGTGACAAAGCATATTTTAGGGAGTTTCAGTCTATGTTGTTGAAAATTGGGAGGCTAGAAACACAAATTATTTTATATTCCAAATTTTAAATTTTGAGCATGATTTTAAGAAAACACAACCCATTTGCTTGGTTTTTTGGGTTCAACTTCCATAGTTTTATATTTTATTATAAATTGTTATTGTGTTCTGTCCTTAACACTAAAATTTATTACTATATTCTTCTTGTTTGGGCTATTTCTCTACAATTTTGGTAGATAAGTTTCTATGAAAAGTACATGAACATATGTTTTTACAGGCTTTTCTAACACATATGAATATAATTTCTGTGTAGTTTGCTTATGATTCAATGTTTGTATTCAGGTAATTTGAATTTTGATCCAATTCATTCCTATGTGAAAAACATTTGAAGTTGAAGTTAACTAACCTTTTCACCTGTTTGTTGTTTGTTCTTTTGTCATTTTCGCACTACAATTTTGAACCAACTACGAAAGCAATCAAGCCAATCAGCGTTAGCATCTTCTATAGATGCATCCTGATCAAGAAACTAGAGATCAAGGGTCAAAGCAAGACTTGCAAATGCCTACCCTACTAAATAATTTAGTATTATATTTCTTCTCTCTACAAAGTTTGCTAAATAATTTAGTATCATAGATTCATATTTATTTTCTTTAGTGAACTTTTTAAACCATTGCAGTAGTAGATGTTCAACGTAAGTTTTAAAATGCAAACATTAATGATTCTGCCTATCATTCTAATTAAGGGGGGCTGTATTTAGCTAGGATTTTAAGAAATTTTCAGAAAAATTAATTTCATGGAATATGAGAAAGTTTGAGAGAAAAAAAAAAAATCAATTATTGAGAATTTGAGTTAATTAATTAGAATTTTCATAAAATTGATGACACGTCATTTAGTTTAAAATTTATATCTCTTTAGCATTATCCGTAATATTAAGTTTTGAGAGAGAAAATACCTTGTAACTTTCAATTTCTTTTATTGTGTTAGTGGCGGGACCCATCTGTGTCAATTTGTTAGAAGGGCAGCATACGTGGGTGGGTAGCATTTCCCGCTAAAGTTTATAGGACGGAAACATAATTTTTCTTAATTTTAAATTTTGAGCGTGTGATTGTTGGTGTAGAAAGTGAGAGAGTGGTTTTTAAGTTTTAACCATGAATTGAACAAGCACAACTAAAACCAGTATGCTTTAGAATGCTTTTTCGTATGTTCGATCGTAAAGTTATGATTTATGGCAAGAGGCACGTATACGAAAAAGCAGTATGCTTTGCATCTATTCTGCGGAAATGGAAGGATGCAGGAAAGACCTATTTCATCTTCACACACTTTCAATTGAAGGACGTGACTTTTTTATAGGCATACTTCGAACATGTCTTCGGGTCCCCGTTGGCTGCAATTTATAAATCATGCACTCCTGTACAATTTCTTACTTATTCTCTTTCTATACATCTTAATTCTACAATATTTTTTTAGTTATTTCTAAAGGAATGCTTTGAATTTTGTTGTTCGTAGGCTCCAAACTTTGTTATGACTTGCCAAGAACCCTTTAGCAAACTTGTTGGAGTGGGGACAACTAAAACTTTAAGGAAACGACTTACTCATATCTAAAAGTCATCTTTAAGATTATTCTCTATATTTCTACATTTACTCAAACAGTGATTTAATCGAACCTAAAACATCTCACTTACAAGTAAAAAAGAATACATACTATACAATATTATTAAGCGACCACGTGCCCAAGACTTTAAGAAAACACAACCCATTGTTTGTTTGTTTGTTTGTTTTTTTTTTTTTTTTTTTTTTGCTTCAACTTCCATATTTCGTAGCAGTAAATACTATGAGTATTGGATTATCTGAATTTACAGGACCACGATTAAAGTAATAAGGTAATGCAAAAGAGATCAAAATTTTCCATTAAAGAGAATAAGCATGTTTTTACTGCACTTAACCAGGTATGCATGCCAGCTGCCAACTCAGCATGCCCGACACAATTGGACGCATCTAAAACATTTGTTTGTATTCCCTCCCTCTCCTTTCGACCAAACATAAAATTACCCAACTTGTTATAAGCACATACAATTTAAAGTAAACTTCTGATGTGAGAATTTCATTACATCCTCACAAGAGATAGTAGAGATAATAAAGATTTGACTAAAGTCATTTTTTTTTTTCTAAATTACTAGCCACGGTTCATAAAACTAAATTTGACGCATGGATCAATAGTTTGTGGGGAATTATTGAGTAGAAAATGACTTAACTCACTAATTTGTTGGAGATACATTTAACATTATTGACGATGATAAGAATTGACGTGCCCTACAAGTAATCACACTCTCTAGGTCTAATAATGATTCTATTATAAAAGGTCTTCTCCTTAACTCATATAAATATACCCTTCTAGAGTTTATTTTTGATAACGCAATTCCTACACACTTATTCTTTTGCAAATTGTTTGAGTCTTAACATTGTGTACCAACTTAAATCTTAAAATTTTATACATCATTCATAACCTTAGCTGGACTGTAATAGAAGTGTCAGATATGTATTCACAAAAGTTTTGCAACTCATTCCTACTTGGGCTTTTTGTTCCTGTACTATCTGTTACTGGTGTTAGAAGTGATTCCCCATTGGTTTTGTGCACATTGAGCATTTTCCTTTTAAATCTTTGATGAGTCTGCCAAGTATTTCCTTGATTTTTTGCGGAGCTTCCGCTAGAACCTTCACTGTCAAAGACTTAAGTGGAGGCAAATGAGTATGGCTGATTATCCCAGGCTTTGACTGTTGCTGCTATGTTATCTGTATAAGAAAAGCCTGATATATTCAGGGCATTGGCGACAGCATTTGCTTGTTATGTTTCTGGAACTCATTGATTGTAGGTGAGAGGGATGAAGTTTGTCAAGGATGTAAGGAAACACCTATAAAAAAATCAAGCAGAAAATAGCAAGGGGCGAGTAAGCTACATAAATAAAGAGCTTGCAATTACATCATGTTCACGAAACACCGCTATGAACTGACAAAATGACTATTCTCCTGAATGTTACTCGATAACATGACGCTCTTATATATAATGGTCTACTGCAATAGATTTGCTTACTGATAAGTGCTGAATAAGTAACATGCTCGAAGTACGTGATTTCTGGTTTATCAAAGCACCGACCAATTAAGTTATTTAAACCGGGAAAGGAAAACGAGAAACTTTGAGTTGGAAATTGATCGTGACTAGGCATATCTCACTACAATTAGTCAAAGGTTTGAGTAGTGAGTTTCTTTGCTAAAACCAGATGATGAAGTGACTATGTTGTGTACCTGGACTCATTGCAACAACCTGCCCATTCCTGCGCACTGTATGTGCCGTGAATATTGCTTGGGTCACACCCATTCTGGACAAAGTAAATAATCTAGATATCAAGAAGCTGAGGTGAAGTCAGTTTGCATAGAACCACCATTATAAGTAGAAAATGATTTGTTTCTAATTCAAGGTAGTATATGAACATTGCAGAGATTGAACCTTTAACCTTTTATGCAGTGGCGGGATCGGTCATATTGAAGAGCAGCTGGAGGGAAATCTTTCTGATTTGCCAAAGAAAGTGGATGTTGCAGCAGTTCCTGATGATCGTGAGAGTATAATACAGGTAGCTAGGAAACGACTTCGTGCTCGTAAAGAAAAGAAATGAGCTTATTCAGTACTTGTATATATAACAATACCAAAATTCCTCAATTGAGGACCAAAGAGAGAGAGAAGAAAAAAGAATGTGTGTTACTAATCTCATCAATCGACCGTATCTTTTACTTTTATTTAAGGGAGTGGTACTGTGGCATGGAGAAGGGGAGAATATTTGTATATTTACAAAAAATATAAGGTAATGGCATTCAACACCCAAGGCTTACCCACTGAGCAATCCCTCTCTTTTTCCAATTAATTTTCAAACAGTGTCTCGGATTCAAACTCTCACTTGTAATAAAAAGGAACAATACTTTAGCATAGCCGCAAGGATCTCTTGCTCCTGCGTTCAAGCCGCAAGGATCTATTAAGTCTTCTCCTTGCCAAGAGTGCACAGATCACCACGATTCCACCATCCATTACCGCTTTCTGGAGTTTCTGAACTTGTACGTTGTCAGCTTGTTGATAACGAAAGATATTTGAACTCAGGAGGGAGTAGATACCATAAATTCATATAACTCGACTCTCTTGAGCTATTTGATCATGACAATAAATAACACATGCATACTTGTCTTAAAAGAGAACAATAGTGACTCCAACTAATCGGAAGTTTAAGGGAGTCAAGAATAACAACCCCAACCAAAAGGACTTGGTTTGGAAATCACATTAGGGACTTAAGTGAGTCCCAAATATCCCAATAGGGGCTGAATGCAGGCAAAGGTTGAGAATTGTTTGATTTGAGCGATGAGACCAAAAGGTGAGTAGCGATGATGTCTTCCCAACACCACTTGAGTCCAGGAGCAAGAGATCCTTGTGGATATGCTACGGTTTTGTACTATTTGTGCAATAGAATAAGTTCATCACTGTGAGAGAGAGTGAAAGTGCAGGAATAGCAGAGTGTAAGTGTAATGCCTTAAAATCCTGGCTTCAGACGGTGCCCGTGAATTCTGCTGGTCAGAGTGCAAGCGTAATAGCAGAGTCAGCAAGGTGGGCTCGTGGCTTCCGACAAGCAGTGGTAGATTCAGTCTGGTGAAATTGTTCAATCAAGCCATACATCAATATTTTCTGCTCTAATGCTTGTGACTCAGGCAAATGATGTTGAGGCTTCGAAGAAACTGATTGAGGGGGCAGACGTTGATCTCAATGAGCAAGATGAAAAGGGATACTCAGCTGCCATGATATCTCCAGAGGGCGGTTACCTGGAAAGTTTCAAATTGCTTATCGACTCTGAGGCTGACATAAACCTGCAGAATAAACGTGGTCAGATGGTAATGGAACTATTTGATACAACTCAAAACGGTGAAGAGTTTGAAAAGTTGTTTAAGAATGCTGCACCTCAAAAGGTACTTGATAGTCCTGTTGAGTTTTATGGGACTCTACATCAGGCAGTACAAGACGGCACCACAGATTTTGTTCATACATTGAGAAGCAGGGGCTCTGATGTGCTTCTGATGCCAATGGATACATTCCGTTGATGTTAGCAGGAAGAGAAGGCCACGCAACGCTGTGCGAGCTTTTGATTTCTTCAGGGGCAAAATGCGACATTGCGAATGCTAGACACGAGACAGCACTCTTGTTTGCAAGGAAAAGTAGGATACACAAGAAATCGTTTAATAAGCAAAAATGCTACTCTTACCACATATTTGTACCATTTGAGTATCTTTACCACATTGGGCTTCACAAAGTCAAATCCAAGAACAACATCAGCCAATTTTCCTTCAAAAATTCACAAACCACCAATCCAAACAAACATCAGCAACATTTTTCAGATGATCAAGAAAAAAAAAATTGATTGATTAAATAATTATTTGAAAAGTCCAAACGGGAGCTTTCTCGATCGAATTGCATAATTCACAGCACCTCATCCTGGGGTTCAGGCAACGGAGGGGGCTGAACCTTCATTTGGCGGTTACCTGGCTGTTGAAATAACTCCCAGTGGCCTCTCCGTGGTTTACAAGAGTGCGAATGTAATAGATAAAATAAATTTACAAATCTGCAGAGGATAATGATTCCGAATCCAATCATTCAATCACAAATCAAACAAATTTACAAGATTGGAAACAAAATCAATGAAATTGATTCAGTGAGAGCACCGTTTTCGAACCTGAACTTCTTGAATCAGGCATCGCGGCGGTGCCAACCTGAAAATGATGACGGGATTGCTGCAAATCCTTGTAAAAATCGCTTGCATTGCAGACATTCCAGCGTTCAAAGAAGAAACCATGGAGAACGCGAAGAATAAAAGGGAGGTGAAGGCTCCGAACTCGCGTTCGCGTTCGCCATCGGTTTCATGGGAATTTGGGAGAGGATTTAGTACAACAGTCCTTTTTTAGTGCAAAGGATTTTGCAGAGTTATCTGTTCGCCGGAATTTGGGGATGGTGGTGGTGGGATGGGAGCGTGGCTTTTCTTTTCTGGGTTTGAAGTGCGGCAGTTTGGAGATGGAGATGGCAGCATCGAGGTGATAACAGAGAGACTTGACAGTGTTAAGTTGCATTGTCGACTTTATTTTTATTAAAAATTGTTTCATTTCATGGTACAAATATGTAAAACATTATTCTTTAATAACACATAAAGGTGTTTAAGTATTAGCTGATTATGATATATGATGATTTTTTTTTATATGACGATATATATTTAACGAGAGGGGATAATTTAAGTAACACAAATATTCAATAAACATTACATTTACGCAAATATTAAAATCAAATTACACACTTGACCAAATAAGCATAGCAACTCATACATAGGGTTCAAAAAAATTAAAATTACACGCCATTGACTAAATATAACAAGTCTTACATATATGGAGAGATCCAAAATATTAAAATTACACACCACTGAATATATAAGACAAGTCTTGCTTGAAGAGATACGAATATAAAAACGTAGCTAGTAGGAAAAGACAACTATTGTTCTAGTACATTCAAAAGAAGAGGAATGGACCAGACATTTTGCTGATAACTAGCTCTCTCTCCATCGTTCTACTGATCTGAAAATAACAATGGAAGTGAAAATAATTAAAAATAATTATTAATAAGATACTCAGACAAAAAACAAAAGAAAGAAGCAACTTAACAAACATTGGTTTAGTTGTAGTTTGCCTAATTTTTTGTTGCCAATTGTTGCATTTGTAATTTTTCAGTTTATTTTGTATTTGAGCATCATCAACAACTCGTATATTATATATATACGCAAATCATAGTTTAGTAAAATATGGAACATGCGTGGTGTATAGGTATAATTTGAGAGTATTTTTTTTTAAATGTGTATATGCATAAAATATATGTATTAATAATTTTGAGGCCAGAAATATACTCTAAAAAAGATAAACATGAATTAATTAAGAGGGAAATTAATGAAAATAACTTAAAAACTTTAAATTTTAATCAAAATGACAAAAATGTATTGTTAATGAATAGTGCCAAGAATGACTTTTTAGAATAAAATTATATTTTTTTCATTAAAGTAAACAGTACTAGAAGTGTTTCGTTAAAACTCTCTTAATTAAAATGATTTTTCTATAAAGTAACTATAAGAAGAAAGCACCAATCACGTGGGTTTTAAACTAACTATTGAGTTAAAACCTAAAAAGTTTAATATGTCCCAACGCATATAAATCAAGAAATGGTAATTCTGAGAAAAAAAATTATAAGAAAAAAGCAAAGAGGTATGAAGAGACTTTAAATAGTTTTCTGTGATATAGTTCCAAAACAGAACACAGATGTTAGCTATGACATGGGTCGCTCGGTCCCAGTTGTGAGATATGACGTGGATCACGCATACCCAGTTGTAAGATAGGACATGTATAGCGCGGTCTCGGACATTTCGAAATCTTAGGTTAAGCAACAGTAGGACCGCCAGAAGAGGATTGAAGGAATAAAGCATTGGGTTATAAAATTGGGGTGCAAGGATGCCACGCAATGCAAGCCAGTAGGTAGCCCACACTAAGACAAGCCCTACCCAGATAACGCAGCGGTGTAGAAGTTGGGTGGAGAGAACAAAAAGTTCAAACCAAACAACGGACAGCGCTGCCGTGGTCACGACAGAGAAAATGTAGAAAGGAGGAAGGCATGGGCAATTATTTAGTTTGCACTCGCAACTAGCCGGATTGACGGATGGAGGTTTGACAAAGTAGTTTGGATCCACCCCGAGGGGAAACAGAATGGTAGCTAAGGCCAAGAGGATGGTCAGAGTCAGGTGTGTGTGCGGATTCGGAGGTGAATTTGGAGGAGGGTTTTGATTTTCATCGTCCGCCATAGTGGTGGTCAGCTGGGAGCAGAAGGGGAGAAGTAAGAAACGAGAGCTGAGTTAACGGTGTGCTGGCGGGTGGGGTGGGAGAGAAAGGGATTAAATAAGAAGCGGGGGCCCCCGTGGAGGGTTGGGTGGGTGAAATGGTGAATACGGTTTGCCTATGATGAGGATGCTTTGTTTCTTTTAGTCTTCAAAAAGTGATTTGGTGGAATATTTTTCTTTATGATCGGTGCCTGTCATAGGGTGCCTTTTTTGGTCGCGGTGTCTATCATAGGGTGCCTCTTTTGGTCGAGGGTGGGGTACTGTTTTTTTTTGTCTATGATGGGGATACTTATATTTTCACGCATTGTGACGTTCATATTTAACTATTCTTATTTTTTTATCTTAGCTTCCTACCTAAACTTAAATTTTTTTGACACTTTAGTACTTATGTTAGCCTTTCCATCAATTCTTTATTAAGTGATGATTTGACAAAAACTATGGCCCACCATATTTGCCAAGAATTATCACTAAACATTGTGGGCTTGGATATACAAGAGAATTTCTCATCCACGTGACAAATATGATGGGTCAAAATTATACCATGTTATCATTTATAGACAACTTGACAGAAAGCTTAACGGAAATATTAAAGTGTTTAAAAAAAATTAAAATTTAGGTATGAAAGTGAGAAAAAAAATATACGAATATCAAGATACTTGAAAGTAATAAAGTGAGAATTGTTAAAAGAAATACAAATTCATATTGGCTGCGTCATATCTATGCTAAGTTTTTGTTCCGTTCGTGCCGTTTTTATGGAATAAGTTCGTCACTGTAAAAGTGCCAAAAAGTACAAGTGTAAGCTCGCGGGAGAGAGAGAGGTGTGCTGGGTGAGTGACAGTGCAAGTGATGAGATTTATAGGCAAACTTCATACTTGCATAGAGCTGGGTTCAATCCAAGTGCAATGAATTGTACAAAACAAAAACAAACAAAATACTATTTCTTTGAAAGTTGCAGGCGTTCACTTGAGATAAGGACAGCAAAAAATGAAGGTGGTTCCGCGAGAAGCTGAGAAACTGAACCTAAACACTGGGTTTTTGGCACAGAAGCGTCTTGCTCGCGGGTTGAGGCTTAATCACCCTGAAGCTGCAGCTCTCATAGCCACACAGGTGTGTTTTTAGCTCCAAAATTTGATCTTTTGTTAAAATTTACAAACTTTGATTGGGTTTTGGTAATCGGTTTTGTAAAGGAAACGTTTTTGTTTGGTGTTTGCGTTGGTAGATTTTGGAGTTTGTTCGAAATGGATAAATCTGTGGCGGAATTGATGGGACATTGGGAGACAGCCGCTGGGAAGGTAATGGTGTGAACTGTGAAATCGTATCAATTTGCCCTGTTTTTGTGTATGGGATGTTAATTCTCGATTCTGATTGTTGAGTAGCATTGGTTGCCTTCCCTTTTGCCCAATCAACGAATCTGTATCCCTAATTTCGCTCCTCGGAATCATGTGTCTAGTTGCTCAAGATTGATCTGCATATTTCTTTTTCAAACAGGAAACAAGTTCTTCCTGGTGTTCAATATCTTTTAGATACGGTGCAGGTGTTATGCTCATTAAGGTTGCTTGCATACGTTTCGAAAAGCCTTAAACATGATGATTGCTGCTGAAAGTTTCTCATAACCCTGACATAACGTGCTGCCTAGAATCATTTTTATGAGTAAGATTTAAATGCAGGTTGAAGGGACTTTTCCCGACGGGATCAAGTTAATCACCATTCACGATCCAATATCTAGGGATAACGGAAATCTGGAACTAGCTTTGAAGGATTCTTTTCTTCCTGGTAAGGGCTATCGGATACATCTCATTTACTTTAGCTTGGTAGAGTTATTGGTTCTGGACGTCTGTTTTAGAGTGTCAATTAAACAACCGACTTATGATAGTTACTAACCTACTGTTTCAGGTTGGCAGTCACTACCACTTCATTGAGGTTAACCCCGGCCTGGTTTTGATCGAATGAAATCATATGGCATGCGCTTGAATATACCAGCCGGAACAGCCAAGAGATTTGAGGTGAAAATTTGTTATATTTCTCAAAATATCTTTAATAATTTTTCCATGTTATGTAATTAAAAGTTGCTTAGTTCATCTCAATCACAAATATATTCGGCCTATCATATGTTATTCTGATCAAAGTCTAGCAAGGATGTACATCAGCCTTCATCATCTTTTAAATCAATAATTTGGGTGCTACTTCTGTGATAGAAGTCATGGTGCTGCTAACTTGCTTTGTAAATTAGGCTCTACTTTGTCATTTTGAATGCTGATACAGTACCATTTTTTTACCGCTTAATCGACTATAAGCATTCTAAGTATGTTATTGGTGCTTGTTTTCTTGTGCCAGCCGGGGGAAAAGCAAACATGTCGCACTTGTAAGTATTGGAGGTAATAGAGTAATCAGAGGAGGAAGTGACGTTGTGGATGGTTCGGTAGATGATGGCAAACTAAAGGAAGTCATGGAAGCTATACAAGCGAGAGAATTTGGACATGAGGAAGAACCAAAAGCTAGGTCGAGGCTTTCTTCCCGAGAAATGTTTATTTGCCTCTTAGCTTCTATTTTGTTAGGTCAATAAAGTTGCATGATTTTTAGCTAGTTCACTAAGATGATTAAGGAAAAATTGGAGATGCCTTACCTCGGTACTAATTTTGCAGTGAAGGTGTTGCAGGAAGCGTTCCAGCTTTCACCACTGTAACTTCTCGTGAGGCATATGCAAACATGTATCGCCCTATTACTTGGGATATAATTCTGCTTGGTGATACCAACTTGTTTGCTGAAATTGAAAAGGATTTTACTGCTTATGGGATGAATTGGTTTTTGGAGGTGGTAAAGTTACTAGAGAAGGAATGGGCCAGTCATCTGGGAATGCCCAGCTGATTGGATGCGGTTATAACCAATGCTGTGATTCATCGGAAATGCTCTATGTAGATGAAAAACGTTTCACCAAAGATAGAAATGACAACCACCAAGGCAAAAAGCACGCAGGCTCCCATTCTGCTAAACATATGAAAAATTAATCAATCTGAAATGTAGTTAAAGGGTCTATGGATGCAGTTACTCAGTGATCATAAAGCTAGTTAATGAATTTAATATCGGGACAAAGATAGATTCCGGTTGTTGTGTGCTTGTTCTTTTTTTAGATATGAGAAGATTCTTAATTCTTCTTCCTCTTAGAGAGAGAGAGAGAGAGAGAGAGAGA